AAAGCATACTATTCGCTGCATGTCTGACAATGTATAAAGTTTCGCAGGTCCTCTTTTTTTTACTTGAGAAGTGCTGTCAACCAAAGCATAAATATGTGTTCTCTGTACATAAAAGTTCAATTTCACACGATTTGTTAATATTAATGTATGATAATAAAAACTTGATAATATTTTTCTGGATTTTTGCACTTTATTTGTATCATTGTCATATGAGAAGTACTCTTGTCCATATTTAGGGCCACAAACTACATGTAGATCTGTACATGAAGTACATGGGAAGTAAAGCTGTTGACACAGGTAATGTACACCAAGGATCATTGCAGTTTCTCAGTTCCTCATCTGGTGCTAGTACTTGTATGACAAACAGTATCATTTCCCTGTTACTGTCTAAAATATCAGAAGTTTTTCAATGAACAGTTCTGTGATTGACAGTGTCCTTGTATTCGGAATACAGTTGTACAAGGAAGTTTATCCAAACAGACACAACACTGACTCTTCAACATATTTGCAGATCTGATTTGCATACTTGCATGTCATTTTACCTGTTGTACTTGTTTGTTGCTTTCTGGTGTTCTTCCTGAGACCAGGATGGAGAGTGCTATAAACTTGAAATTGCCATAGAAATCATGTTTGCCAATTTATGTCCATGCCAAAAACTGGACAAATTATATGTTGCAACTTTCAAATGTCAACAAGTGAAGGCAGTATCATTCATGACCTGTTTGATTGAATACATTTTTACGGCTTGGAGGCCATTTTTTCCCTTAAAAATCTAAAAAAACAAGCTTTTTCTCAGATATGCGTCATCCAGTTTTGTTCAAAGTTGGTACAGGGACAGGTAATAATTGTTTACAAGTGCACTTCGCATTATATGTTTAACAAGTTATAAATTGTCTCAGAAAAGCAAAATGAATATTTTTTTTTTACCCCACCCCCCTAAAATTGTAACACATCAATTCTGAACAATTAATAATGGAATTTTAATACAGCTCACAATAGTTGCGTTCACGCACAGCTCCTTAGCACGGGCTAAGAGGTCAAATTCCTTAGCCCGTGCTAAGCAAACGTACTTGAACGCTTAGCACGGGCGAAGGAATTCTAAGTACGGGTTAAATCTGATCCAAATTTAAGACGCGGTCTAGACCCTTAGCACGGGCTAACATAGTGTGTGCGAATGCTTAGCCCAGGGCTTAGCGCCCTCTGTGCCGACCTTTGGGTGTGAACATTATGCACGTGATCAAATATATCCAACTTTCTCATTCCCAAAATAGCAACCGAGCTCAGTGTACACGCTTCCACACTGATCGGGTCGCTGTAGTCGAGCGTACAGCAGCACCAATCGTAGACAAAATAAATTTGGTTCGCTGTCTACGACATGCATTAATAAAACTCTGTATTCTGTTACGCCGTTGTATACTGTTTCTTTGCATCCAAATAAGTTGGGTCCATCTTCTCTCGCGTTCCTGTGCGCGTTGCTTCAAAATTAGAACGAAACATGTCAGCAGCAGAAATAGAACCTCGCGCGTGTCATCCATTTTTCGTTCATAAATAGTGGCTTGCACCTTAGCCCGTGCTAACAACTGGCCCTCCCTGTGCGTGGACGCAATTAGGTCTTGCCTAAATGCAAATATGCTAGATAAGCCTAAATCAGCTTAAATCTTAGCCCGTACTTTGTGTAACGTGAACACAACTATTGAATTAATTCACTCTGACACAAACCCAGTTCAATATAAGTTTTTAAATATTTTCTGAGCGGGGGCTATGACATGACATGTCATGTCTTGTTTATATTAATTTTGATATTATTACTAGGTATTCAAATTATGTAACCATGTAGCTATTTATCATATTTTTATGTTCTTATGTTTTAGAATCTGAAGTATTGATCGTAGACGTTTACACAACACAGCAATAAATCAACATGGCTTCAAATGGATCATCTGGAAACAGTGGTGGTAAGACAGATAGCAGGGACATATCTGGTAATATGACCCCTGTAGAAGAGTTTGGTGAGAATCAAATAAACCTCTTTTAGAAACCTGGTAACTGGCTGAGTATATTTTGCTGTCAAGTGGCATATTTCTTTTCAGGTTGTGGTATTATCCACATTATTATTTAATGTTTACTTCATATGTTTTATTATTTTTGGCAAAATTTCCAAATTATTTATACCATTCGTAGACATTTAATCAAAAATAATAAAACAATTTGTCATAAATATTAAATATATATTTTTTTTAGAATTGTGTTTATATAAATCTCTATCAAACTCTGCAAGTCCTGAGCTACTAAATTTAGTGAGTCACAACAGCAGCATTCAGCATATCATTCAAATACACACATTTGCGCCCAAAGTTATTCAAATAGTCTCGTCATATAATAGAAAGTTGTCTCCACTTGTACAATTCAATCCCTACAATGAATATATAATCCCTTTGTATTCTTTATTCACACCATAGGTGTATCATATCATATTATATCATATCATATCACACAATAATAAATATCACATCAAATCATATCTTATTTTGTTTTGAATAATTATAAATATCACATCAAATCATATATATCATTTTGAATAATTATGAATATCATTTCAATTAAGATCATATATTGTTTTGAATAATAATAAATATCACATCGAATTATATATTTCGTTTTGAATAATATGTGGTTGTAAGGATACCGAAAAGTATAAACAAAGACAGTACAGCAATAGTATCAACTGACATGCAGCGAAAGTCGAAAAAACAATGTACTGTCTGAGTGCATACTTTGCGGTATCCTCATAATAACCTTATTATTATAACATCTTTTCCTTCCAAGGATACATCATGGGAATACCAAAATCCAAAATGTTTAGAACAGATTTAGTGATTAGAAGTTCTTTGTGTTAAGTCCGGTCAAACCCTGGGGGCAGCCATGTTTGTTTTTATTATTAGAGGATGCTCACACACGTAATCGCTCCATACTTAGATGAAAATACCCAGTGCAATATCGCATGCTTTAACTTATGGCGTTATAATAATAATAAATATCACATCAAATCAAATATATCAAATCATATCATATTTTGTTTTGAATAATAATAAAAATCACATCAAATCAAATATATCAAATCATATCATATTTTGTTTTGAATAATAATAAAAATCATATATATATCTTTTTGAATAATTATAAATATCCTTTCAAATAAGATCATATATTGTTTTGAATAATGATAAATATCACATCAAATCATTTCAAATAATATATTGCTATCCTATTTATTCCTATCATAGCATATTATGTCATAGGTTTTTTCTGGACACAAAATATTTACATAATAAATATCACATCACGCATGCGAACATACACTGCATGTTGATATATCATTTGTGTGTGTTGTTTGTCTGTCGATTCAACGAGAACCATCTCATCATCCTTGGGCCGGGATGATCTTGCCTTGTGGGTTCACAGGTGGTTGGTGAGGCCAATATGCGCCCGAGAGAGTCTCGAACAGGGAATGGTAGCTGCTGCTTCAGGATTGTTGGCCCTGTTCTTCCTGGCCTGTCTGTGGTCTTCAGCAGCAGAAATCATGTTGGCCTCATGTACACTGATAGACAAAGCATACCATCCAGTTACTGACTGAAAAATATGTATTCCACTCTCTGTCATTTCTCAATCTCACAATTTAATGTTTTCGACATTATGAATACTTTAAAGACTTTTTGGGTGGTGGAAATGGTGATTGTACATTTGAATAATAATATCGTTATTGTAATCATATTCACCTTGGAGTATTGATATGTAAATATAACAATGATGCAGTGCGACTGGTAAAGACTATTTTATTCTTTTTTATTAGTTAGATGTCAGAGTCTAGGTCAGTTTATATGATCAGATTGATATGTTCATTGTTATGCAAACCACACAATCTGATGTCTGTTAAATTTTTTTGGAAAACCAGACATTTTATCAGATAAATGTGATCATGTCAACACCTATTTTCCCATCAGATAAATTGGACCAACATACACCCTGTATTATATTCACATAATTATGGTTATTTGTAGCCTATATGATTTTATACTATTACTGTATTCAGATAGCAGCAATAAATGCCATCAGTAGGTTTCAGTATTACATTTATAAAATCTTTTTCAGATACAATATTTTTTTGTCATGAGAGCTGCATTGAATTATTCACTTATACTTTACTTCTTGTACCCCTGTATGGATAGAATGCATTGAAAGACCACCACCATTGAAGGCCTTCAATTAATTTTTATCACCAACTAATGGTAACTGATATATTCTATACAGACTCTATAGACAACCCACCACCATCTTATGACGAGACTGAGACGAAAGGTGGTGAACCAGCAGTTTTACCCATGACTGTTGTATCATCCCGTAATTCAAACCATGCTGTGAATATTAGTGACAATTACAGAAGGTCATCTTATGATATTGCCATGGAAACTAAACATACTATTAAGTAAGAATTGGATTAACATCAAGATCATTATAGTTATACCAACTAACATCTAGTTATATCAACTACACTCTATAGTTATATCAACCACAAGCTAGTTATATAATCCACAATCTAGTTATATCAACCACAATCTAGTTAGTCCCCGTTCGGACGAGCTCCGAAAACGGGGACTTATAATTCGGTCTCTGCATGTCTGTGCGTCCATCCGGAGTCATATCTCAGAATCCTTTAGACCGATTTTGTTCATTCTTTACATGTACCTAGTACTTTATGTGGGACATATGCGAATGCAGTGGTTTAGTGATTTGATTCAAAATGGCCGACTGGCAGCCATCTTGTTTTTTGAAAATGTCGTATTTTTTACATGTTTTGTTAGTTTTCATTTAAATTTGGTACATAGATTATACATGTTAGGATGGTCGATTGACAGCCATCTGACTTTTTGGCCTTAGTACTATATTTCCAAGATTTATGTACCATTTTCATTCGTATTTGGCACATACATCATACATGTCAGTTTGTTTCATAATCAGATCAAAGATGGCTGAATAACGGCTGTTTTTATTTTTGGCCATATTACTATATCTCTGTCACCCATGTATCATTTTCATTGATATTTAGCATGTCATAAATGGATACATGTACATGTCAATTCAATTTGCAATTTGATAAAATATGGCTGACTGGTGGCCATCTTGTTTGTTTAAAATGTGATAGCTTGGACATGCTTTCATTTTTGATCTATGTTTTTCTTTGCCGTCTTGAACCGGAGGGGGTCGTCACGCAACACGTGTTCGAATTTGATGTGAATAAATAATCTGTTGTATACGCCACTTGGGACTCAAGTTTCAAGGACACGCTCGTGACAACCCTCCACTTTAATATGACGAGCACAAAGAGACCTTTCAAAAATTTAACGGGGACTGTGTCATTATCAATGACTTGTTATATCAACTACAATCTAGTTATATCAACCACAATCCAGTTATATCAACTGACATCTAGTTATATCAACCACAATCTAGTTATATCAACCACAAGCTAGTTATATCAACCACACTCCAGTTATATCAACCACAATCTAGTTATATAAACCACACTCTAGTTATATCAACTACAATCTAGTTATATCTATCACAATTTAATTATACCTGCTACAGTCCAGTTATATCAACCACACTCCAGTTATATCAACCACAATCCAGTTATATCAACTACAATCTAGTTATACCAACTAACATCTAGTTATACCAACCATAATCTAGTTATACCAACCATAATATAGTTATGCCAACCATAATCTAGTTATATCTATCACAATCTAGTTATATCTATCACAATTTAATTATACCAGCTACAGTCCAGTTATATCAACCACAATCCAGTTATATCAACCACAATCCAGTTATATCAACTACAATCTAGTTATACCAACTAACATCTAGTTATACCAACCATAATCTAGTTATGCCAACCATAATCTAGTTATGCCAACTATAATCTAGTTATATCCATCACAATCTAGTTATATCTATCACAATTTAATTATATCAGCTACAGTCCAGTTATATCAACTGACATCTAGTTATATCAGCTACAGTCCAGTTATATTAACTGACATCTAGTTATATCAACCACAATCTAGTTATATCAACTGACATCTAGTTATATCAACCACAATCTAGTTATATAAACCAAACTCTAGTTATATCAACCACAATCTAGTTATATCAACTGACATCTAGTTATATCAACCACAAGCTAGTTATATTAACCTTACTCTAGTTATATCAACCACAATCTAGTTATATTAACCACAATCCAGTTATATCAACTGACATCTAGTTATATCAACCACAAGCTAGTTATATAAACCACACTCTATTTATATTAACCACAATCTAGTTATATCAACCACAATCTAGTTATATCAACTGACATCTAGTTATATCAACCACAAGCTAGTTATATAAACCACACTCTAGTTATATCAACCACAATCTAGTTATATCAACTGACATCTAGTTATATCAACCACAAGCTAGTTATATCAACCACAAGCTAGTTATATAAACCACACTCTATTTATATCAACCACAATCTAGTTATATCAACCACAATCTAGTTATATCAACTGACATCTAGCTATATCAACCACAAGCTAATTATATAAACCACACTCTATGTATATCAACCACAATCTAGTTATATCAACTGACATCTAGTTATATCAACCACAATCTA